ACTTTTGACCTCTTGAGGTCCTCGCCAGGCCTCGGGACCGTCAAAAAACGACCCAGGAATAAAAGCCGGTCCCAGGGAACGGGTCGAGACCTTTGGGGGTCGACGTCATGAAAAAATCATGACGTCGGGGGTCTGGGATTGACACGTTCGCGCAGGCGCGAATTTTGTTCCTGGACCGTCAGGTGTGTAGTCCTGCGAACTGTGAGAGCCGCGAGGCACGCTCGGGCGGTACACTCGGATTGTACGCTCGCGCCCCCACCGTCCGGCTGCAAGGCCTTCGAAGAAGAAACAACGGCACGAATTTCTTCTCCTCCTCCTCCTCCTCCTCCTCTTCCTCCTCCTCCTCCTCCTCCTCCTCCTCCTCCTCCTCCTCCTCCTCCCCCTCCGCGCGAATCTCTTCCTTGCGGCGCCTCCGGCGTGCTCCGCGCGCCGAGGCCGGATGTCCAGCGCCAGGGCCACGACATCCGCCCTGGCCTCTGGCAGATAGCAGTGGAGAGCCATGCCAAGAAATACCCTGCTTGCCTCCTCCTCCTCCTCCTCCTCCTCCTCCTCTTCCTCCTCCTCCTCGCTCCTCCTCCTCCTCCTCCTCCTCCTCCTCCTCCTCCTCCTCCTCCTCCTCCTGGGCTCGGCGGGCAGCACCCTGCCTCCTGCTTGCCTCCAGGGTGCCGGATGGAAATGGTGCAGGAGGAGGAGGAGGAGGAGGAGGAGGAGGAGGAGGAGGAGGAGGAGGAGGGAGGAGGAGGGAGGAGGAGGGAGGAGGAGGGAGGAGGAGTGAGGAGGGCCTTCGTCGGGCCAGATCGGTCTGTGACCGCCCCGGGGTGCCTCCTTGGTTTCTCGGGGGTCGATGGTTCTGCGGTGGAAAGAAAGCACGACGTTCCCACACCGAACGTCCATGGACGTCCTGGGGTCTGAGGATTGGTTTTCTTGTGGAAGGTTTCTTGTGGACTGGCCTTAAGTCGGGCCTGTCCCTCCACAGGAGAAAAAAACAACAATAGTTTAACAAATAGTCTGGGGACGATGTCTTTGAGTATGTTTGCATACTGTTTGAATATTTGTATGGGGCTTTTTAAACTTCTTCGTCAAAAATCCGCCTGTGGGGGATATGCCCGACCGAAGGTGGGGTTTCTTGTGGAAGGTCTCTTGTGGACTGGCCTCCGCTGCTGGGGGGAGGGCCCCGGCCCAGGGGATGAGGCCAAGCAGGGCCGCGGCACACGCGGCGTCAGGGCTGGGCTCACGTCGGGCGCGTCCCTCTACAGGAGGAATATTCAAAGATATTGAAAAATAGTCTGGGGACGATTTTTTGTTTTGTTTTTGAATATTGTTTGATATGTTCGTTTGGAGAAATCGTCCAGCATCCGCCCGTGGGGGGACATGTCCAGCCGAAGGTGGGGTTTCTTGTGGAAGGTCTCTTGTGGACTGGCCTTCGCTGTGGGGGGGGTGGGCCCCGGCCCAGGGGATGACGCCAGGTCGGGCCGCGGCACACGCGGCGTCAGGGCTGGGCTCACGTCGGGCGCGTCCCTCTTCCTCCTCCTCCTCCTCCTCCTCCTCCTCCTCCTCCTCCTCTCCTCCTCCTCCTCCTCCTCCTCTCCTCCTCCTCTCCTCCTCCTCCTCCTCATCCTCCTCCTCCTCCTCCTCCTCCTCCTCCTCCTCCTCCTCCTCCTCCTCCTCCTCCTCTCCTCCTCTCTTCTCCCCCCCTCCTCCTCCTCGGGCGGCGTCAGGAATATTCCAAAATATTGAAAATAGTATGGGGTCGATTTTTGGATCTTTGTGACTACTTCGGGGCATCTGCTGGATATGTCTTATTTGTCGTCCAACATCCGCCTGTAGGGGGACATGCCCGACCTGAGGCTGGGCCGGCAGCCGGCTGGAAGGCCTCCTGGGTTGTAGCCGACGAAAGCACGCTGCCAAATAATGCCCAGACGTCTAAAACAAGGTTTAGACATGCATAAACCTTATGTATGTATGTATGAATGAGTGTATGTCTGCATGTACGATGTGTATATATATATATATTGGTTCACACATGTTTAGAACCTTTTTTTCAAACAACTCAAGCACTTTTTAGATTCAAGGATCGGGCTGTTAGGGTGTCCGCTGTCATGGCATCAACAACCTCCTGGCTGAGCGCACGTCCTATCCCCTCCAATGCCGGCGGCGGCACTCAGCCCAGCCGAACAGCTCCAGGAGCGTTCCCAGAGCCCCGACGTCATGTTTTTCAGGACGTCGATCCCCAGAGGTCTCGACCCATTCCCTGGGACTGGTTTTCCGTCCTGGGACATTTGTTGACGGCCCCCAGGCCCCGCAAGGGCCTCCAGTCACCAGTCTCCGAGAACAGCGAAAAACCTTGCGTCGTGATTTTTGTCGTGGCTCGAGGGTGTCTGGGCTGTCCTGGTCGCCACCGCCGCAGGGCCTCGGCGAGGGTGGCCAGCGGCCGTGCTCGTGCCCGAGCGGGGCCTGTGTCCACAGCCGCCGCCTGGCTGGGGCAGCGGCCCTCCGGGGACCCCGGGCACCCGGACCCCCTCGAGCCACGATGCCAGACAGGATCGCGTCGTGAAAAAGTCAGGACGGGTGGGGATGGCCAAATATAGTGGGTGATCCAAACATAGCCAGACAATGGTTGGAACATCGTTCCCATACGATTTGTTGGTGACAATGTTTGAAAGCTCCTCCTGTGGAGGGACAGGCCCGACTCAAGAGCAGCGCGCAGACGAGCCAAGACGACGAACCGAGGAGGCGAGAACGACGACGACGACGAGGAGGAGGAGCCCCAGACATGATCACGTCGTGAAAAAAAAATCAGGACAGGAAGTTTTTCGCTATTTTCGGCCCCGTGGGGCCCTCGCCGGGCCTCGGGGCCGTCAGGAAACGGCTCGGAATGAAAAGCCAGTCCCGGGGAAAGGCGCGGGACTTCCGGGGACGCCGTCCTGAAAACATCAGGACGTCGCATGTCTTGGGGACAAATCACGACGGAAGGTGTTTCACTGTTTTCGGCCTCTGGAGGCCCTTGCCGGGCCTCGGGGCCGTCAGAAAACGACCCAGGACGAAAAACCGGTCCCAGGGAATGGGTCCAGACTGGGGGGGTCGACGTCATGAAAAAAACATGACGTCGGGGGTTTGCGGTGGATGCGGACAGTGTCGGGCCTTTCGGGGACGAACCACATCCATCGCCGCCGCCCGCTGGAGGCCCAGGCCGTCGGTTCCGTAGGCGGTGGGTGTGAGTACAGTGGAAGCCCATGCCAAGAAATACCTTGCTTGCCTTCAGGATGTTCTGGGTTTCTGAGGCTTCGCTGGTTTTGCGATGGAAAGCGTGACGTTCCCACACCAAAAAACCATGGACGTCCTGGGGTCTGAGGGTTGGGCTTCTTGTGGCCGAGCTCCTACTTCGAAGAAACAATATTGGCATAAGCATAATTTGGTGGCGCTCCGCGCGGAGTTCCTGGATCCGCCCTTGGCCCCCCTGACGGCGCCTCCGGCGCCGCCCCTGGCGCGCTCCGGAGCAGATCCAAGAACTCTGCGCGGACCGTGGAAACTTTATGATTAGGCCGTTTTTCGTCTTCAAGGGAGGAAACACAAACAGGACCCGATAGTCGGCATCTGCTAAACGGCCTTGGGCGCTTGCGTCAAACAGCCCTGCCCTATTCGATTCTTTCTCTCTCTGGGCGCGTTTCCTAAACGACTTCGCGTGTCGGGAAGGTTTTTACGGGGGGGGGACCTCTGCGTTCCTCTATGTTCCCAAACATCCGACGACTCGATTTTTTCGAGACGCGGGCCCCCGACTTCCCGACCACTTCCCCGGGACCGGTTTTTCATCCCGAGTCTTTTTCCCAACCATCCTGTGGTGTTGGGTCCTCGTTTTGAAGAGACGGTGCCCCGCGTTCCTCCTTCCTTCCTTCCCTCCCTCCTCCCCCTCCTCCTCCTCCTTCTCCTCCTCCTCCTCCTCTTCTTCTTCTTCTTCTTCCTCTTCTTCTTCTTCTTCTTCTTCTTCTTCCTCCATCCTCCCTGCGTTTCACCCACACAGTACAGGGTTTCGTGGCCCCACAGGGAGCTCCACCGAAGGCCCCAGTGGCAGGGTTCGCATGGCGGCCCCGCGCCATTTTGGCGCACCCCTCACACCGTTCGTAGCCCCATAGGGAGCTCCACCGAAGGCCCCAGTGGCAGGGTTCGCATGGCGGCCCCGCGTTTTGGCGCACCCCTCACATTGTTCGTGGCCCCATAGGGAGCTCCACCGAAGGCCCCAGTGGAAGGGTTCGCATGGCGGCCCCGCGCCATTTTGGCGCACCCGTCACACGGTTCGTGGCCCCATAGGGAGTCATCGAAGGCCTGAGTGGCAGGGTTCGCATGGCGGCCCCGCCCCATTTTGGCGCACCCCTCACATGGTTCGTGGCCCCATAGAGGGCTCCACCGAAGGCCCCAGTGGCAGGGTTCGCATGGTGGCCCCGCTTCATCTTGGCGTAGCCCTCACACGGTTCGTGGCCCCATAGAGGGCTCCACGGAAGGCCCCAGTGGCAGGGTTCGCATGGCGGCCCCGCGTCATTTTGGCGCACCCCTCACACGGTTCGTGGCCCCATAGGGAGCTCCACCGAAGGCCCCAGTGGCAGGGTTCGCATGGCAGCCCCGCCCCATTTTGGCGCACCCGTCACACGGTTCGTGGCCCCATAGGGAGCTCCACCGAAGGCCCCAGTGGCAGTGTTCGCATGGCGGCCCCGCCCCATTTTGGCGCACCCCCTCACACGGTTCGTGGCCCCATAGGAAAGTCCCCTTGCTTCGTCCAATCTGCCTTGCGGTTCTCACACTTGCGTATGGTTGGGTCTTTCGCCAGGATAATTTTGGCGGTCCCGAGGCTCGGCGAGGGCCCCGAGAGGTCGAAAACGACGAAAAGCCTCCTCCTCCTAGATTTTTTCGAGACGCCCGATGTCTGGGTTATGCCCCTGCCTCGCTCTCCGGGAGCAGTCCACGGTGCCGGCGCCGGCGCCCTGCGGCGGCGAGAGCGGGCCGGCGAGGCCTCGGAGGAGACGACCCCGAGGCCCGCGGGGCCGCCGCCGCAGAAGCCCGTGCGGCGCATCGAGGAGGCCTGCCGCCGCCCGCCGCCGCCCGCCGCCGTCGCCGGTGCTCCCCCTGGGGGGGACCGATTTTGACCGAGATATTGGGGGGAGGTTCGGGTTCGAGGTTCGAGGTTTTCGGGCGCTTTCCTCGGTCCTCGGCGGCCTTCTGGCCTCGGGGTGCTGGCCAGCAGCTGCGCCTCGGCGATGGCGTTCCGGGGGTGCCTGGATCATCCCGAACGGCCGCCGGAGACCCGAGTTAGGATCCAAAAACTGAATTCGGCGGCGGGCGGGGGGGGGAAGTGAGAAGGGAAAGGCCTAGGACGGCGGCGGGACTTCTCTCAGAAGCCCTCGCGCCTTCCGAGAAGGTTCTGCCGTCTTCGGGGAAGGCTTAGAACACACTTCTCAGACGACCAGGGAGCTTCCGAGCCTTCTGAAAAAGCCTTCTCACTCTTACTTCCCCCCTCTCGCCGCCGGTGGAAAGATATCGCACGGCTCCTCGAAAAACAAGGGAACAAAGACCACCCAGACCCGATCATTGGTGTGTACTAAACGGCCCTGGGCGTTTACTAAACAGCCTTGCCCTGTTTGAGTCCTTCTTTGGGTGCGTTTGCCAAACGGCCTCGCTTGTCTGGGTGGTTACTATGGGGGTGGATTTCGTGCCTTCTCGAAATTTTCGAAGAACCAACAGCGCCAAAAGCACAAAATGTTCGACGCCCCGCGCGGATTTCTTGGAGCTGCGCTGGCCCCCCCCCCTTGCGCGGCGCCTCCGGTGCTGTGCCCCTGGCGCGCCTTCCGCGCGCCAGGGAGGGGGTTCTAGCCCAGATTAAGTCGGGCGTGTTCCTCTAAAGGGAGTGCAACCATAGTTGAAACAGATCAAGATTGTAAAAAAAGTTGGGCGAAATTGTCTGGGGACGATTTTTATCATTCTTGACTATCTTGTAGATTTTTGAGGTATTTATCATTTGTCGTCCAAAATCCGCCTGTAAGGGGACATACCCGACCTAATTCTAGCCCAGATCCAAGAAATCAGCGCGGAGCGCCAAACAGTTTATGATTATGCGTTTCTTCTATCTGCTGGGAGCATTCGAAGACGATACCTTATTGGTTTTCGAGATATCAGCGCCCTTCGAAGAAAAAACGGCCAACGATGGCCTACGCTGGCACACGGCATCACGAAATGGAGCAGCCCAAAAGACAGCGCTTCTGCAAAACGCACATACGGCTCACAGCAACACCAAGCGAGAGCAGCCACCTCTACACGTGAGCGCTCTGACCCGCCCGCGCCGGCCTTCCAGGCCACGCCACTTGGCGGTCAGTGGCGCGTTCTCTCCCCCTCTCTCTCTCTCTCTCGCTCTCTCTTTCTTCTCTGCCTCTCTCTCTCTCTTTCCTCTCTCTCTTTCCTCTCTCTCTTTCTCTCTCTCTCTCTTTCTTTCTCTCTCTCTCTCTCGCTCTCTTTCCTTGGCGGAGCTTGAAAAATGGCCTCCCAGGTGGGGCCCCCGAGCAGATTGGATCGGAGGATCGCGCCGCACCGCCGCCGCATCGGAGATGCGGCTCGACGTGGTGCAAGATGTTCTCTGCGCTGGCGTCGCCTATGCACCGCCGATGGAGCGCCGATGCATCGCCGATGCATCGCTGCTGCCCTGGCGATTCGGCGCGCTCCTCCGACCCCATTTAGTCGGATAGCATCTAGGAGGCTTCCAGGGACCTTCAGGGCGACAACCTTGGACAGTGAAGGTTCAACTTGCGATGAGGAGGGGGAGAAATTGGAGGAGGAGGAGTAGGAATAGTAGGAGGAGAAGGAGGAGGAGGAGGAGGAGGAATAGGAGGAGGATGAGGAGGAGGAGGAGGAGGAGGAGGAGTCCCTCAGGGCACCGTCATTTAGCCGCCGACCCTGGGGGAGGAGGCCCCGCACGGCCCAGTGCGATCCCGATTTCGAGTCGATTCTTCTCTTCCTCCTCCTCCTCCTGCTCCTGCTCCTCCTCCTCCTCCTTCTCCTGCCGGCCCAGTGCGATCCCGATTTTGAGTCGATTCCTCTCTTCCTCCTCCTCCTCCTCCTGCTCCTCCTCCTCCTCCCCCTCCCCCTCCCCCTCCTCCTCCTCCTCCTCCTCCTCCTCTGCCTCCTCCTCCTCCTCCTCCGTCTCCTTCCGGCCCAGTCCGAGTCGATTTTGATATTTTGACATTCCGATGCGGCCTTATGTTCGCGTGACCGTTGCTGTACATCATGGTGCGGCCGATGCGATTCAGTTTCGACTCTGTGCCGTTGCATCTCGATCCGACGCTCGTTCCGATGCGATCTGATTTGCAGATTCGATGCTGACTCTTCCCGTCATCCTGGCAGAGGCATTGTTTCAATCTTGCATTGCATCGAAAAACACCCAGTGGAGGTTGTTTTTAGTTTTCGGCGTCCAGAGGCCATTTGTGGCATCGTGGGCTGCCAAATCCATCCATGCCGAACCGTTTCCGAGGAAGTTGTCTCGAGGTTTGGGGGCCTGCCAAAGGAAAGGATGACCATAGGGGAGGAGGAAGAGGAGAAGGAGTACCAGAGTGAACCCAAGATGCAAGAAGACATCGGTGTTGCAATGCACCCTCCCGCCCCAAGTCCCCTTCAGAAGTCCATACCAGCTTTCTTTTCCACTGCGGGCGCCCGCCCTTGAATGACGAGCGGCCTGTCGGTCTGCCAGTCTGACGAGGGCGCCTGTTGTACAGGATACTCCCTTCACTTGAAGGACGCTCAGGGTAGCCTCGTTTTGAGAAGCACATGCCCTCCATCCGCCTAGGCGTTGCAGGATGTCAAAGTTATGGACGTGTGCTCCGCGGAAGCCCACGCGACGGTCCTTCAAAGAGGCCCAGGGATGGCTTCATTTTGAGAAGATCATGCCCTCCACCCGCCTTTGACATGCAGGGTGCCAAAGTCGTGGACGTATGCTTCGCGGCAGTCTCACGCGAGAGCCCCGTTTCGAAAGAGGAGCCGCCCTCCATCTTCCGGAACGCCGGGTCGTAGAGATCGAGGAAGGGTCACGTGAATATACATAGTTCGGGGGTGGACAGACCTCCTACCCTGACACGTCGAAAAAGGAATTGGCCGTTTTCGGTTCGCGAGAGGGAGTCGCGGCCGTCATTTTTGCGGGTCCAGGTCCGTCGGTTTCGGCCCCAGGCCGTTGTCACTAAGGGGAGGTCTACTAAAGGGAGGTTTGTCCACCGCCGAAGGGTTCTGCTTATGCCGCCTGTTGTTCCTCTATCACTTGCGCTGTTTTGGTAGTTTGAGGGCCTCCTGGAGGCTTCTGGTTGCCACGGCTGGGTCCGCCTCGAAGACGTGGTCCAGCTGGAATCCTGTCAGGAGGGGAAAGAGCACACAGACACAATGAACCGAATGTGCGCGAGGCCGAGGGGAGACCCCAGCACGGTGGGGGCGTTCGTCAAGGAACGTGTCCAGGAGGCTGCAGACCCTGGAGGATTCTACGGTAGGTTCGCGTCGTGTCGACCGGCGGCGACCCCGACGCCGGCGTTCAACGTTGAACGCCGGCAGAGGCCCAAAATCGGTCGATGTTGAACGATCGGACGTTACGGAAATGGCCGATCGTTCAAGGTTGAACGATCCTCGCGGCGTCAGGGACCAACGCCCAGGTCGACACGGCACGAACCTGTCGTACAGGCTTGCGCCAGATTCGCTGACCCCTTGAATCAGGTCGTTGGTGGGTCTGGCCTGTGAAGAGTCCTTGGTTACTCGGTAGTGTCCTTGAGGAGTCTTCCGAGGGTAGTGGGCAAGTGTCGGCTTCGTGGTGCATGCTTCCGCAGGGAATGACGCAACGTTAACTTGTTGGGGCCGTCAGGGGGGTCCTAAGGGAACCCCCGTGGAGCCAATGCGTAGCCTGAAGGAGCTCTCCTGGGCCGTCCGCGGCGCTATCAGAGCCGTATTATCGATTTCCGTCGTGGGGCGTTTCTGGAGGCCTCGCCGCTAGTCGCGGGCCGTTGGGCCAGGCGTCTGAACGAGTGTGCGCGGAAAACAATAGGTTTCTTGAGGGAATGGGCAAATGTTAGCCTCGTGATGCAGGTTTCCGTGGGGAGTGCGGGCGTGTTCGCTCGTTGGAGCCCTCGTGGGGGTCTTGAGGGAACCACCCTGGTGCCAACGCGGAGCCCGAGAGGGAATTGCTGGGCCGTGTCTCCTCGGACGCGCCGTGGGCCGGAGGTCCGCTGTGAGGATGGGTGTGCGCGCGTTTGAACGACGGTGGTTGTGCCAGAGACGGGCCCGAACGCAAGGTGTGGGCTCGCCTTGCTGCTGCCGCGTGGACAGCCGCGCGCAGACGTGCGCGGGGAGTTGCAGAACGGTTGTGCCAGAGAGGGGCCCAGACACAAGAGTTGGGCTTGTGTTGCTGGTGCCACTGTGAGTGCCGCGCGCAAGTGTGCGCGCGGCACCAAGACGAGCGGAGGTCGCCGCATGCAGGGGCGGAAGTAAACTCCGGGCAGCAGGGTGCGACCTGGGATCGTGCGCGGAACCTTTCGGGGCCCTCTTGGACCGTCGGCGTCGCCTTGTGGGCCGTATAGTGGGGGCCCATGTCAGGAAGCACCCCGCTTGCCTCCAGGGTGCCCTGGGTTTCTTGGGTTCCGATGGCTTTGCCATGGGAAACGTGACGCTCCCACGCCAAACATCGATGGACGCCCTGGGGTCTCAGGCTTGGGTTTCTTGTGGAAGGTTTCTTGTGGACTGGCCTCCACTGTATGAGTGCCATGTTGTCGCAGGCCTAGATGTTGACACCAACACCGATTTCGGCGGTGTGCCTCCACCGAGGGAAGAAGATCCCGATCTCGGTGATGGTGGCAATGCTCTGGCTTCCAAGGTGGCCGGAATCTTGCCACCAACGCCGAAATCTATGATCATCTTCCCCCTGTGGAGGCAGCCTCCTGTGTTGGTGCTGGTGGCCATTTCCCGGCCTCTAATGTTGGTCTGGGTGGGCCATCTTGGGCGTCTCCTGGGCCGCCCTGGCGCCATCGGGAGCCGTTCGGGTCGCCGGCACGTCTCGCCCAGAACCCCCGCCCCCCTCCCTCCTCCTCCTCCCTCCTCCTCTTCCTCTCTCCTCCTCCTCCTCCTCCTCCTCCTCCTCCTCCTCTCCTCCTCCTCCTCCTCCTCCTCCTCCTCCTCCTCCTCCTCCCCCCCCGCTCCTCCTCCTCCCTGTCCTCCTCCCCCTCCTCTTCCTTCTCTCTTCCTCCTCCTCCTCCTCCTCTTCCTCCTCCTCCTCCTCCTCCCCTCCTCCTCCTCCTCCTCCCCGGCCCGCACTCATCCTCCCGTCCTTCTCCCCTCCTCCTTCTCCTCCTCCTCCTCCTCCTCCTCTTCCTCCTCCTCCTCCTCCTCCTCCTCCTTCTGCTGCCTCCCCTCCTCCTCCCCTCCTCCTCCTCCTCCTCCTGCCTCCTCCTCCTCTCTTCCTCCTCCTCCTCCTCCTCCTCCTCCTCCTCCTCCTCCTCCTCCTCCTCTCTCCCTACTCCCTCCTCCCTCCCTCCCTCCTCTTCCTCCCTCCTCCCTCCTCCCTCCTCTTCCTCCCTCCCCCCTCCTCCAAACCTGCCAGAGGGGCAGCAGTCTCACACGCCGTAGACCCCAAGGGGTCGGCGGACTCTTTGCCCGATGAGGGTGGCGGTGATGTCCATGTCCGATCCACAGTTGGAATTCCAGTGGCTTCCAAACCCTGGATTTCTTATCTAAGGGCTCCTTGTCCAATGCCCCCACCGTCTTGGGAAGGATTCGCTATCACTTTGCGCAGCTACGATGGTTGCGGGGTGGTTGTAGCGTCTGGGAGCGGCCAGGAGCGTCTGGGAACGCCTGGGGCAGCTTGGGTGGCGCCTGGGTTCAAAATCGGAGTCGGCCAAGGGTGCCCGAAACGCATCGGTGTATATGATGCATGTACGATCGACGTTTGTGTTACTTTGCCCATTGTGCCCAATGTCCCTTCGGGCCAGAAAGGGGGTGGGTAGATATTGAAGATCAGCTGGTGCACACCGAACATCGTATGTTTCCTATCACGGTGAGGGATGGATCGGATGGATGTGCGCCGAATTAGTCTGCTGTGCACCGCGTAGCATGGTGAGGGTTGGGTCGGATTGATGTGCGCCGAACAATTTTTCTACATCGGGTGATGAATGAGTGTTTGGGTCGTATTGACTAACCTCGACGAGTACATGTTGCAAAACATGGTGACGGTTGGGTCGGATTTATGTGCACTGCGCAGCTTCTTGTTACATTGAACTTTTCTAGGGTGGGTCGTACGTCCGTACGCCGGATGTTTACATCGGATGGGGGTCGTATGGATGTGAGCACATTTGCAGATTTGGCACAGCATTGTGAGGGTTGTGCCAGGTGGATGTGCACCGACTAGCATGATTATGCTCATCGGATGGTGCGGGTTGTGTCGTATGGATGCGCGCAGCGCTAAGGCGAATACCAATTTCTATATAGTCCTTTCCATTCCTCCCCACTCCCTCCCACCATCCCCCCCCCATCCCCCCCTGGTCAGTCCTTTCCATTCCTCCCCACCCCACTCCACCCCTCCCCACGTTTCCGCATTCGTTTTTGCGCTCTTTCGATTCTACCCCACCGGACCCGCAAGCCAATATTTGCGTGTCATGACAACGATCTGGCAATCCTCCACGGCGCCATTGAGGCCAAAGGCATCTGCTCCCCCCAATTCAGCGCGTCATCCCCAAAGCCAGTCCAAGGGAGCCCTGCAGCATCCCATAAGCGGCGCAAGCCGGCCGTAACCTTCCTCTGATAGTGAGTCGTCCGCATCCCCGATGTTCGTGTTATCACAGCGCCGTGGGTTGCGTTAGATTCCAAGCGCGCGCAAAGCGCGCGTGGTTCTAGTATACATTTATGTGTAATAGATGTTTGGGCATGTACATGTATACACATACACTCATATAAGTGACTATATGTATGTTTCTATGTATGGATGGTTGGATGTACTTATTGCTGTGCGTATGTATGTCTATACATGCACGCACGTATATCCATATGCACATATACATGTATATATGCATGTACGTATACATGTGCCAATATTTGCATACATGCATGCATGTATGCACATGTGTGGATGTATGCTTGTATGTATGGATGGTCTGGTCTGGTCTGATCTGGTATGGTATGGTATGGTACGGCACGGTGTGGTATGGAATAGTATGTATGCATGCATGCATGTGATGTCGGTATGTATGTACGCATGCCTGCATGTATGTATGTACGTACGCACGTACGTACGTATGCATGCATGCATGTATGTGTGTATGTGTGTATGTCTGTCTGACTGCCTGCCTGCCTGTCTGTCTGTCTGTCTGTCTGTCTGTCTGTCTGTGTGCGTATGTATGTATACATGTATGTATGCATGCATGTATGTATGTATGCATGCATGTCTGTCTGTCTGCCTGCCTGCCTGCCTGTCTGTCTGTCTGTATGTATGTATGCATACATGCCTGTATGCATGTATGTATGTATGTATGTTTGTATGCATGTATGTATATATATATATGTGTGTGTATATGTGTGATTGCATGTCTGTGTTTGTATGTATACCTGTATGTATGTAGGCAGGCAGGCAGGTAGGTAGGCAGGTAGGCAGGTAGGTATCTGTACAGCTATGTATCTGCCCCGTGGCCGCCTGGCGGCCTCAGGTGAAGAAGGTCGTGCTCACGAGCGCCGCCTTCCGCCACAAGACCGCGGCACTCTGCGGTGATGCCAAGGCGTCGCCGCCGCCGTCTCCACCGTCGTCGCCGTCGCCTCTGCGACCGCGTGCGAACCCACGAGCGGGGACGAGCATCAAGAAGTCGTCTGCTTTTCGTCAGAGCTCCTTGGACTTCTTCGCTGCGCGCGCTGCGTGGCGACTTCCCGCATGCGTCAAGGAGCTGCTGCGTTAGGAGTGCCTTGAGTTTCCCCCCCGAATTGCACCTCACGGGTGGACTTTCAGGGCTGGGTTTCTTGCGTGGGGTTTTAGCGGCCTCGCCTGCACCGTAACCCTGCGGGCCCAATCGCCGCTGGTTATCGGACACCCCCTGTGGCCCCTGTGGGGGCTCATCTTGGCTGCAGATCTCTTCCGACTTCGGAGCCCCCCCCAGTGCCTCAGAAATCTGACCTGCAGGTGCAGGGTTCTCATGGTGTCGCCCAGTCGCTGTCGTCGACGACGCCGTGGCCGTGGCCGTCGCTGAGTTTTGCGCCTCTCTTCCTGGCAACGCGTCGACGTCCCAGGGCTCAGCTGGTCAAGGGGACGAAGGCGGGTGCACCGGGCGCTGTGCCCTGTAGTGGAGGCCAGCAAAACCATCGAATTTCAAGAAAACCAGGGCACCCTGGAGGCAAGAAGGGTGTTTCTTGGCATGTATCCCCCAGTTGCCTTGAGGCAGAGCTACCGCGGCGGAGCCCCCAGCTCCCCCAAACCTCTTGGCAATAGTCTAGCCAGAGATTTTTCGTGGCGTGTGGATTTGGGAGGCAGCAGGATGAGGAGGAGGAGGAGGAGCAGGACCAGGAGGGGAAGGAGCAGAAGGCGACGGAGGAGGAGCCCCCAGGGAAGCTGTTGCTTCCTCCTCCTCCTCCTCCTCCTCCTCCTCCTCCTCCTCCTCCTCCCCCTCCTCTTCGTCCTCGTCCTCCTCCTCCTCCTCCCCCTTTTCCTCCTCCCCCTCCTCCTCCGCTTTTTCCTCCTCCTCTGCCTCCTCCTCCTCCTCCGCTCTTTCCTCCTCTTCCTCCTCCTCCTCCTCCTCCTCCTCCTCGAGGTCCGTGGATCCCCGTGCAGAAAGAAAGAAGTCGATGGCTCTCGGGACGCGTGTTGCCCCGCTGCGTGGTTGCCCCGCCTGTGCCCCCCCCAGGGAGTGCGCCGCACCTGTCGGCCCTCACCGCACCGCCTGGGTCGCATGGAAGGGCATCGGCGGACGAGCACGCGTTGGCACCACCACACGTGCTGGGGATCATCGATGATGGGCCTGTTTTCCACCACCATCACCATAAGTTGGAGGGGGGAAGGAGGAGGAGGAGGAAGAGGAGGAGGAAGAGGAGGAGGAGGAGGAGGAG